ACACACACAAAAGTAGCTCTGGCTGGCGTGGTGCCAAGTCTGGAGCCTTTGTGTGTGTGCGACTGAAGAACCTGCTCAGAGACATTACTCACTCTCTCTCTCTCCTGCCTGGGTTTTTTGAGCTTAATTCTCTTTATTTGCATTGCGCGTGTTTCTTTGTGCGAAGCTCAAAGTCTCTATCCTGCACAGACGAAAATCCAGACGTATCCAGTCTACGGTCTAGTTGGCCAGAATGGCGTTATTAAGCCCATTTCATTTATGTCGCGTCGCGTTGCAGACCGATATTTCGAGCCAAAGCACTTGGCTTGGTTTGCTAGGTCCATAAAACTAAAAAAAATTCTCGATAAAATCCGCTTTCGGTTCTAGCGGAAATCTCTGGCAGACTTAACTGTCATTACCGATTCCATCATGGTAAAAGAAAGCGTTATCTAGATTGTGCATTGCTCCTCATAGTTGCACACGGCTGCTCATGGTAAGTATTTGTGCTCGCTAGATTTAAACGATAACATTTTCCTCCGGACTATACGAATTATTATCGTTACGTCTATAAAATAAATTCGTCAAAAATCTACTGTCGGGTCTGGCAGAAATCCATGGCAGACTTAACTGCTATTATCCATTCTATCGTGGTAAAAAAAATTGCCTTAAATGTGCATTTATGCACATAGTAAGTATTTGTGTTCGTCAGATTTAAACGATAACAGTTTCCTCCCTGCTATATGAATTATTATCGCTTATATTGTCAATATCACTAGTATCATTTATGTTGCACTATTCCTGTTGCACTATATTGGACTGTTCTATTGTTTTCTTGTATCTTGGTAATTATGATTACTAGAATTAGCTCTTTTGGCACCGCAATAATGCTTCCAGTCCCGGTATCCTAGTCCTCGTAGTGCAAACGTATTAGAAATTGACATGATTTTGGTGGATAGAGGTGAGAGGGTAGGAATCAATGCAAGTTCTGGTGTGCTCCGGGCCTTAAACATGTATTTTCTCGGAATAGCATAAATCCGGTTTCACACTCCTAGTTGAGATCGAGGGAGCATGACCCCAGCGTTGACTTTAATCGGCGTTGCCTCAAATAGTACCAGTACTACTATCATTCAGCTGCATTTCTAGTTTGGAGTAGTAGAAACAGTATCAGTCTCCTTGAATCTCTCAATTGTATTGCCGGGGTTCGTTGGTTGCATTTGTTGCCATTTCGCCTCACCTGTATGTGACATCTAAATTTATGTGTCTCATCTGAGTACATTGCCTCCAGGTAGTATACCTTCTGTTCCGATATAATAGAGGAGGTATGGTTCTTTAGAAAGAAATCGAGTTGTACGCATTTATTTATTTAACTAAGAAATATTTGCGCGCGATAATTAAAACGGGAAATACAGCCAATAGGAAACAAAAAGACCCAATTAAATACAATCGTCGACTCTATGCGAACTTTATATCAACAAAGTATGCCTACTGCCGCGAAATAAGTAGACAGTTATGCGAAAGTAAGCGGTAGTGGACTCTAAATGTAACTATCACTTTTTTAAGTTCGCAACGCGTAGCGCATCATTTCTACATGTGTATACTTTTCTGCTTGCAGGCTGACTTAAACGGTGCGCAGGCCACCGCAAACCCGGAGCTGATAAGCCTCTTTTCTGCGGACTCTGGCAGCTGTTGTGGCGGTGGCGGC